CCAGTTGAGTTACCTGATGCTTGGCTTTTGCTGGCGTAGGGTAATTTAACTAGTCATCCAGACTTCCATTTGGCCATAGCTGATGGAGGAATGGGCGACGAGTCACCAACACTGTAAGAAGGCGTGTGGACAACGAGCGTTTGGCAATTGCTGACGGACGTGGCCAGGCGGAACAGTAGGAAGGAACCCTTGTCTGGCTTTTGCTGACAAAGGTATTGCTTTATATTGATATTAGAGTTTCTAGAGATTAGCTATTCGGAATTTCTCCTGTTACAGGTTAGCAACTTGCGCACCACTGCAAGCAATCGTCATACGACATTTCACAACATTCTACACCGTTTACAACATCGTTACAACATTTATAACACCATACAACATTTTACAACATGCTACACCGTCTACAACATCATTACAACATTCTACATCATTAGCAACATTTTCAACATCGCTTTCCACAAATTGATTATATTTTCTTATTTTTTGTTAAATAATAAACGCTACTTTAAACAGAAGTGTCTCTATTATTTTACTTAGATAAATTTTCTTATAACGAACCCTGGTATACTCGCTGAGTATACCCCAGCTATAGATAGGGCCGGGAAAAGGTCGTTACACCACTTACGTCCACTTCGATGAAATTAGGCTCCATAACCATGGGCTCGAAGAAGGCCAGAAGGCCTAGTCTGTCTATTGCTAAGTTTACTGGCTTCCCGCGTACGTCACTGAAAAAAGTCTGTGGTTGATTCTTTTGATTATTTTGCATGGACCTGTGTACGGTGGTTCTAATGGTTTTCTTAGATGGTCTGCTCTTACAAATACATGAGATGCACTATACAACGCCCTATAAACGAAAACAGGACTGAATGATTGAAAGTTAGAGTTGGTTTAACTTGTCGTATATGCTCACATAATGTTTTTAAGAATTTTTGTTCCTCTGGAAGCATCCGTGTTTTTACAAAGAATTCTCCTGGTAAGCGCAATGTTGTACCATACACTATTTCTGCTGCTGATGCGTTTATGTCTTCTTTAACAGAGGATCGAAGACATAATAAAACTGAAGGTAATAATTGTACCCATGTGTGCTGAGCTCGTGCCATGAGTATGGTCTTCAAAGTGCGACGAAATCGCTAAATTAACCCATTTGATTTCGGGTGATACGGCGATGTGCGTATTCTCTGTGTCCCTAAGCGTTTTGCTGACGCCTTGAACGGTGCCGATTCAATTTGAGTTCCTTGGTCAGTTGTTACTATTTTGGGACACCCAAATCGCGATATCCAAGTTGCAAAAAAATTCTCCGCGACTGTGTCAGCGGTGATGTCTTTCAATGGAGTGACCTCTGACCATCGTGTGAATCTGTCTATCATAATTAATGCATATCTATAACCATGGCACTCTGAAAGTATCATTAAATCCAAATGATCGAATCGTTGATCCACTCGAGATAAACTATCTGTTACTACGTTGTCACTGCCACGTATGTTATACTCGTTGTAAACACTCTCATGAAACTTAGATGTCGCAATTGGTGAGCTGAAACCTTATCCGATTTTTGCTGGAAAGCATATATTAGCGGTTTGTGATCCTTGCGAATGGTAAAATGTCTGCCTTCTAATAAATGTTTAAAATTTTCGATAGCTAGATAATTCCCTGCCGTAAGTGCTGTAGTTTTTTTGTGCTGCCTTAAGCTTCGATGCAAAAAAATGCAACTGGACGCCAAACATCGCTTTCTTGTTGTACTAGTACTGCACCGACTGCATTGATAAATGCATCTGATGTCAATCGAATTGTACTTGAGGGTGAAAGAAATGTTAATTTAAATAGCGCAATAGATAACGGCGAATTTCTTTAATTGCTTTTAGTTTCGCATATTCCTCGATTGCTTTCACTCCTTCTGTAGGTGGGCTGATTTCTACGGCTGATATGTCGAGTTCGGAGTTTATCTGCGAAACTCCGAACCCGCATTTGGCAGTGTTTATGATAAGTTTGACTTCCTTTAGAGTTTTTAGTACTGCCTCTATATGTTTCACATGTTGTTGCTCGCTTTCTGAAAATATTAAGAAGTCATCGAGGAAACAGAAGACAAATGGCATTGATCTGAACAACGATTCTATATGCCGTTCAAAAGTTTGCGTGGCATTTTTCAACCCGAAAGGCATTACAACGAATTCGAACAACCTAATGGGCAGTGGTTTTGTATATGTGTTCAGCTAACATTGGTATGTTGTAGTATGCTCTGTGGATGTCGATTTTTGAGAACAATTTGCTGGCATGTAGTTTGTACGTTACTTGGTCTAAGTATGGTATCGGATACCGGTCTGGTTTCGTCTAAGCGTTCAGTTTCCTGAAATCACCGAAGGCTCTCCAGGTGCCTGTTTCTTTGTGACTAGGTGGATTGGACTCGACCACGGACTGCTCGAAGGGCGTATGATTCCTTGCTCTAACAATATTGAAAATTCTTCTTGGATTGCTATTGCTTTCTCTGATGAGTAACGGTGTGACCTTTTATATAGACTAAAGAGGTGTCAGGGAGACTGTAGGTGTTTGCTCCATACACATCGACATACTTCCTGATGATCGCAAAGAATTTGGAGTTTGGATCTAATGTTTACACGGACTGCGTTAATATAGTCTTTACTATGCCAGTTGAGGATAATTTTGTCAGCGGATCTAATAAGCGCTTTGATTTCATATCTGAAATTAGACCGTATTTTTTTTTTTTTGTAATTATATTTAAACAAAATGAAGAGTTTAAATTTACAACAACTAGTCATATTGACTAACAAGAGGTTTTTTTTATTACAAGTAAGTTTATCTAAGTCTATCAAGGGTGAGCATATAGATACGAACTAGTCATCTCCTTGCTGGTTGAAACGCCTCAAAAGGTCATTAGGTTTGAAGCGGCATAAGCGTCTGTGAGTGACATCACAAAGTAGCGCTGGAATGGTGCTGTTTAAAAGTTGTCTCAGCCTGTCATAATGTTTTTTAGCAGCCTTCTGAATTTCTTGCTTGACAGTAGGTATTTCAAGGTCACGATGTAGATCAGAATTTCGCACGTACCACGGAACGTTAACTGCATCCCTGATTACTTTGTTTTGAAATCTTTGTTTTTTCGCACAACCCCAGATTTGGACACCATAAAGCCAGACCGGCTTGAAGACTTGTTTATAGATCATAAGCTTGTTTTGCTGAGATAATTTAGATTCCCTTCCAATAAGCCAAGTTAACTTTTTGTATCTTATTTTTAGCTCATTTAATTTTTTCTTGACGTGTACCTTCCATCTCAGTTTGGCATCTAGACTCATACCCAGATATTTCCCAGAATTTGCAACTGGAATTTTTACGCTATTTAGAAATAATGAAATTTGATTTTCTCTTTTGTTAGTAAAGTCTACATGATTAGATTTTGAAGTGTTTACTATCAGCTTCCATTTATTTGTCCATTGTTCAATTTCTTGAAGAGCGATTTGAAGCTTAGTGGTAGACACCTTGTTGTTTGGACCTGTAGCCATTAATACCGTGTCATCTGCAAAAATTCCAACAATACATCTTGGGTTCACTGGCAAATCATATGTGTACAGCAGGTACAGCAATGGGCCTAGTATACTCCCCTGAGGGACCCCGCGATTTATAGGATATAATTTCGAATACGCGTCAATTAGTTTAACTCGATAGTACCTTTCGCCAATATACGATTCCAGTAGTTTACAATATTGCTGTGGCAGGATAGTGTTTAACTTATATATCAGGCCAGAGTGCCAAACCCCGTCAAAAGCCTTTGATATATCCAGAAACACAGCTGAACAAGTTTCTTTGTTTTCTAAAGCCTTTTCTATTTCGTGCGTAACTCTGTGTACTTGTTCGATTGTTGAGTGTTTTTTCCGAGATCCAAACTGATGATTTGGGATAAGATTTCTTTGACAAACTACCTTTGCAAGTCTTTTACAGATAAGCTTTTCGAACAGTTTTCCTATGGTTGGCAGGAGAGAGATTGGTCTATATGAAGTTGGAGAATTTTGGTCCTTATCTGGTTTTAGAACCATCACCACTTCAGCAACTTTCCAATAGCTAGGGACATGATTTAATTTTATACTCGCATTAAATATCTGTGCAAGTTTGGCTACTCCTTTTGGAGGTAGCTTTTTCAACACTTCACTAGTTAGGAGGTCATATCCTGGTGATTTCTTTAATTTCAATTTTTTGATTTCCCCAGTTACTTCTTTATTTTTTATCCGCAAAATAGCTTCATCATCTATGTTGTTATTTGGCTCTATATGATGAGTTTCTTCTTGATTGAAGGTATTACTTAAGTATTCAGCCAAAACGTGTGCCTTTTCAATGTTGCTTTTCGCCCATTCATTATTATCTTTTTTTAATGGAGGATTATGAGTGATCGGTCTTTTATATTTTTTCATAGCTTTCCAGAGAGAATAGTTAGTTTTGCTATCATATGTCAAGTTTGTAAGATATTTCTTAACATTTTCATTTTTAAAATTACTGATTTCTCTTCTTAATTTTTGAGTGGCATTATTAAGGTTTCTTTTATCTTGCATTAATCGTGATTGTTGCTATTTTTAACGTAGTTTTCTTTTATTATAGACTAGATTTAAAATTTCGACCGGATAGTTTTTATCAAATTGCTTACTATTCTGCAGTGGAGAACTGCGCCATGCCGATTTTTGAATCAAGCTTGTAAAGCAATGCGTTTCACTCTCTAGGTCATTTATACTTCGTATTTTGCAGGATAGGTCAATATTTTCATTTATCTGGGCTTTAAAATAATTCCAGTCTGTTAAACGGTTTGTTAGTGTCGGTTTAGGTAGCGTAGATAAAATATTACATCCATAAGTAAGCAATATTGGAGAATGGTCAGAATTTAAACACGTTGTTTTTTAATTCGAGTTTGATCAAGACTGATCGTTTTTATTAAAAACTTACATTGTGCAACAGGGTTGCCAATAATACAAAAACTTTCGTTATTTATGAACATTATATATTTTATGTTATTTTGTATTGTTACCCAACATCCCGGCCTCCTTGAAAGGACTTTCAATAGGTAAAATGGCTAGTTTGTGGATAGGTTTGCGAATGATGCCCTTTGAGGTACGTACGTCAACTACTCTGACATGCTCGTCCTTGCCTGGTATGACCTTCAGAACTCTTCCGAGTTGCCAATGTAGTGGAGGCACATTGTCTTCATGAATTAACACCATTGCATTGGGCATGATATTTGGTATTTCACAGGTCCATTTTGTGCGCATCTGTAGCTCATTTATGTATTCATGAGACCACCGCTTCCAAAATGATTGTTTCAAACCGATGATGAGGGACCACTTGTCGAGCATGTTAGTATTAGCAAATTCCGTCCACTCCGGCAACGCCTTTAAAGAGCACCTAATCAAAAAATGAGCAGGAGTCAATGCTTCGTAGTCGCTAGGATCCGGCAAAAGTGGTGTCAATGGTCGAGAGTTGAGAATAGCTTCTATCTCGGTTGTTACTGTTGACAACTCCTCAAATGTTAACTTAGTAGTCATCAAACTTCTATATAAGTGCCCTTTTGCGGATTTAACTGCAGCCTCCCAAAGACCGCCAAAACGAGGTGCCCTGGGCGGAATAAAGTGAAAATTAATAAATTCAGACGCGCAGTACTGAATGATAGACGATTGGGTTATTTTATTAAACAAGAATGACTTTAGTTCTGTCAATTGATTCGAAGCCCCAACAAAATTGGTTGCGTTATCGCAAAATATATCACTTGGTAAGCCTCTCCTGCCAATCATTCTTTTTAATGCTGCAATGAACGCGTCTGTTGACAAACTTGATACAACTTCGATGTGTACTGCTTTTGTTGCCATACAAATAAAAATGGCGATATAAGTTTTGTATGGAGGCTTCCCTCTTATACGTAAATACGTGTTGAATGGTCCACAAAAATCTATACCACAGCGCGCAAACGGCCGTGACGGTGTGAGACGTTCTACCGGTAAATTGCCCATCATCTGTTGCAATAGTTTTGGCTTATAATGCACGCAGTGAACACATTGCCTGACTACTCTTCGAGCAAGCTCTCTGGCGTTTATAATCCAAAACTCTAAACGATTGAGTGCCACTAGTGCCTTAGGTCCAGCATGATAATTCTTACGATGCAAGTAACGAACATAACGTATGACGAATTCAGATTTGCTAGGCAGCAGGATAGGATGTTTACATTCTTTTGCAAGATCAGCCAATTCTAATCGTCCACCAACCTTTATCAGCTTATACCCACCGGTATCTTCAATAAATGGGTTGAGGTATTTTAATGAACCTTTTGTTATAGATCCTGGATTCAATAAATAAATATCTTCAGCAAAGTACTGAGCTTGTATATTTGAAATGATGCATCGGAAGGCGTGGTCTAATTCTTCATGAGTAAGAACTTCTGTAAAGACATTGCGGTTGAACTTCTTCTTATAATGATGATACCAACGAAACAACCAAGCCAGTACACGAACAGCCGTTGTATGTGAGCTATACTTATCAATAATATCTATGACATAATTGGTTGATACAGTTACCTTGAATGCTGCTTTTCGTTTTTCCTTATTAACTTCTTCAAAATCCAAGTTGTCGTTCTTGTTTGCAGGCCACTTATACATCTCTTGACGAAGAAATGAAGGTCCTTTAAACCAAATAGAATTAGTGAGATCCTTAACAGTGCTGCCTCTTGACACAATGTCTGCTGGATTACAATTTGTGTGGACATATCTCCAATGTGAACCTGCGGTGAGGTCTTGAATCTCAGAAACTCTATTGCCTACGAAGGCACACAGTGTGGCCGAATGCATTTTAAGCCAATGTAATACGATTTGGGAATCAGACCATAGATAGACGTCCGTATCAAACTTTTCGAAGAGCGATTTAATTTTGTTGTAAAGTCTTGCAAGTAGCAGTGCTCCACAAAGTTCTAATTTTGGAAGCGATTGTTTTTTTAGCGGAGCTACTCTAGATTTGGATACGAATAGTTGAACCTCTATGAGGTTGGAATCATCTGTGACGCGAATGTAAATGCTGCAACCATATGCGCGAATCGATGCATCGCAGAACCCATGGAGCTGAATTGTTTTTGCTTTTGGTTTTAGACAGTACCTTGGAATGGTAATGGTGTTCAATGATGACAAATCGTGACAAAGCCTTTCCCATGCTGAATGTAAGTTTTGAGGAAAGGATTCGTCCCAATCCAATTTAAGCAGCCATAGCTCTTGCAATAATATTTTAGTTGAAATGGTTATTGGAGCTAATAGTCCTTATGGGTCGAATGGTGACGACGCAATTGATAAAATAGTTCTTTTTGTGATGCGGCTGATAGAGTTTGGTTTAACATTAAATTAAGGAATAAATACATCCTTATCTTGATCCCATTTCAGTTCCAATGTGCTGGTAATAACATCCGAACCTATATTGAGATCTTTGATAGTAGTGTCATCTCTAAAAGCTTGATGATTTGAGTGCCACTTAGCTAATTCGAAACCTCCCTGTTTTAGAAGCTCTTCCAATTCGTATCTTATTTGATGTAACTCAGAAAGAGAATCTGCACCATGCAATAAGTCATCAATATAAAACGAAGATTTGATTACTTCAGCTGCAATCTTGAATTGATCCACATATTGATGCGCTATATACAATAGGCAACGAATGGCAAGGTACGGTGCAGCAGCTGTTCCATATGTAACTGTGTTGAGCTGGAAAGTACGAATATTGGTAGATGGTGAACTTCTCCAAAGAATGTACTGAAATTTTCTATCTTCAGGATCAATCAGAATTTGCCTATACATCTTCACTATGTCAGCAGTAAGAGCGAAACGAAATAAGCGAAAACGTAACAAGAGGATGAACAATTCAGTTTGAAGAGTAGGTCCAATCATCAAAATATCATTGAGAGATTTCTGAGAAGAGGTTCGACATGATGCGTCGAATACGACTCTTAATTTCGTCGAGGTGCTGGTTGGCTTCAATAAGCAATGATGCGGAATGTAATAATGAGGTTCATCAATATTTGGATCTTTTACCTCAATCATGTGACCAAGGTTTTGATATTCTTCCATAAAGGCAACATATTGCGTTTTGAGCTCAGGCGACCGTGACAATCGATATTCTTGTGCAATAAATCTGCGCAACGCTGTACCGTATGAACTGCTTAAACACTGAGGACTATCCTTAAATGGCAACCTTACCATAACTCTACCTGCATCTGTTCTGCATACTGTTTCTGAAAACAAATGATCACAAACTTGTTGTTCACTAGTCCAAGCATGTGGAGTGATCGAGACTTCTTCTAGCTTCCATAAACGTTCTAACTTTTCCTCGATAGAGTCAATTGATGAAAGGACACAAGTTGAATTATTAACGCATTGTGAAACATCATATCTACCTGAAACATATACTATTGGTCTTTCGATATTATCTGTTTGAACTGGGACAGGAACTTTTTTTGTTTTTTGGTCTTTTAATTTTTGAAGCTCCTTTGCGACTACACAACCGCGATATGACGCTGGGTGTTGCTCCCCACAGTTGCAACATTTTGGGTGACTATCATCAGGTTTTTCACAAAATATAGTTTCATGCTTACCTGCACATTTCACACACCTAGGCTGCTTTTGACAGTAGTTTTTGGTATGGTTGAAAGATTGACATTTGGTGCACTGCGGGATAAGTTTAGAGGGTTTTATTGTTTCTATAGATATTATTGTATTTAAGATTTCTTTGATTTCATGGATTTTGTTCGTATCTTCTACTGACTCAAAGGTTAAGATGAACATATCCAGTGGTTTCTTGGTTTTAAATGGTAGCTTATTAAGTGCGCTGACAATTTTAAAACCCTTTTCTGCAAGGTCGCCTACAATATCTTTAGGGTCGCATGAGTGATGCAGGTTTTTTGCTATAACTCTTATTGGTCTAAGCTGTTTATGTTCATAAGAGTGCCATGAGAGATTTGCTTCATTTAGAGCTCGAGTTACTTCCCGATAATCGTTACCATCGAAAGTGCTAATTTTACATAAGTCGTTATTCATTAGTTTCAGCAAAAATTTATTTTTGCTTTCCTTTGTAATAATTTTTCTTATGTGATTGTAATTATCAGAGACAGTTACCATAATTGGAGGTGGACGAAACTTGGTTGATGTCTTTTCCGTTTCATTAGAATGCTTTTGTGTCACATTGTTGAGAATTGGTGACACACTTGGAAATGTAGTAGCTTTGCGCTTTTTTGAGGCTCTTTTATTATTTTTTTTAACGATCCAGTCGGTTTCTCGAGCAAGCTCTTCCTCGTCTGTTTCGAAAGTTATGGTGGTTTGCTCTTTCGGAGCATTGTTGTTTACAAGTTGCGACCTTAATTTTTGGTTTTCACTTTTGAGTTGAATAATTTCTTGATGAAGTTTGCCGCATAAGACTTATAATTCTCTCATTTTTTTATTAAGAGCTTCATTATTTTTGTCATTAGTGTGGCTGGTGTTTGTGGACATATTAATTTCGTATGGAACTATATCTTTTGGACTGTTTGGAGAAGTTATGTTTAAATTATTATTTTTATTACTAATTAATTTAATTTTATTTGCTATAGCAATCTCACTAGCGGTTTTTTTAATGTTTATTTCGGTTTTCGATTTACCTATAGTTTTGTTTATAGGTTGATCGTTTATTTTAATGTCTTCTGCATTAAACGTTATGTAGCCATTTAGGCCATTCTCACTTATTAGTGAATGTCTTCGTATATTACTTTTACAATTGTTCATAAAAAATTAAATTTTAAAAGAAATAAATTTTTTAGTTTGATGATCACTGATTATATAGTATATATATAGAATATTAAATTTTTACATAAGAATTAAAAATATACACTGTGGCAACGCCACTTTTATAAATTGCAACTTTCGTTAAAGAATAAACAAACAAATGCTGTCTCTATCAGCTGTTTTGAAAGTATTAGTAACTAATAATTTTATTGCTTTTGATTAATTTGTTTTGATTTTTTTTTTTTTAATAAAATTAAAATTCAGAAATATATTTTGTAATTTAAACATATAAACCGCACTTATGCTGACACGGATCGCGACAACTAGAGTGTACGTTTATTATTTAATCTTTGTGTGCACTTATTTAAATTTGTTTTTTTAAATTTTAGATTTAAATTTAGAAAAAACGGAGCGTCTGCAGTTGGAGTGTCTTGTTTAGTTCGAAAAATATTTAATTAGACCGTATATGGCTTAAAAATTTGCGCCCAGAATTGAACTTGACCTCTGCTATGATGAAGGTCCATGTAAAGTTGCGTCGTAAACCAAGATCAAGACTAAGTCTTTTGGTACCGTACGTCTTAATGTGTGAATTGTTCACTGCAAACAGTTTTAGACTATCTGGAATAAAATTGCATGGGATTGCTGTTAACGGAATGATTAATACTGCTAAACCGGTGTCAATTAGGAAGTTCATGTTTGAAATACTATCGACAATGTGTGAACGAGCTTCTTTAGTGCAGTTTTGCCGCACGTTGTCGTTTACTGCACTTGTTGACGGCTACGGTTTGAGTTTTCTTTTTGTTTAACATTGGCTGCCTGACTACCAAATTGGCATGGTTTGACGTATTTCGTAGCAGCTATTGATGTGATAGTAGCACACCTTACGATTCTCACGTTGGCTCTTAAACGGCTTCCTGCTGAAGCTACGACCTCTGCTCGAGCCGGAGTTTGTTATTCGAGTGAGCTCCATTGTTACTTCGCTTAATTTAGCCACCACATGTTGGAATGATATTTCTAAAGCGGATACACGTGCTTCTAAGTCTGATTCCCCTGTATTGCTGTGAGGCTTACGTGCTGTTGAAGTAGATATTACATAATGCGGCGTGGGAATGTTGTTGGTTATTTTGTCTGCCAATTCAGCCATCTGGCTAACATTATTGGAACTGCATGCTAATAAAATGCATCGTATATTACTCGGCAAACGCTGTAGCCAAAGCGCTGACAAAGCATCGTAAGAGATGTTTGATACTGCAAGATCTCCCATCTCTCGTAGTAACTGCGTTGTGCGTTTGTTCGGTACATCCAAATCTGTTAGCAATTTTATTAGTTGTTTTTGGCGAGAGTCGCCAAATCGCGAAATTAATTCATTCCTGAGTGTTTCATATTTGCCCGTTGTTGGTGGGCTTTTCGCGATGTCGGACACTTGACGAAGCGTTTCGGCGTCCAATGCTGTGATTACTATGTACAATTTAGACAGGTCAGAAGTGATGCGATTGATGTGTAACAATGCATCAACTTAAGTAAACCACAGTTCTGGATCCGTTTGTAAGAATGTCGGTAAATTTGTTACTTTAACTGCATCGATGTCCGTTTTTACCGTAGCTAAAGTGGCGTCCACGGACACTGACTTGTCTCCTGCCTCTTTCTCCGAATTCTCCATCGTTTTTATTAAGCAGTTGTCGGGGTGACCAAATATGTGGCTAGTTTACCACACAATGTTTATTTCTTACTACTAATGAATTATTTACAAACTTGATGTCAATTATTTACACGATAATGAAAAATAAATTAAAATAAAATGTGTTTTTGGTTCTTTACAAACGGCGGTTGTTAACACATGGCACGTCATTGAAACAAACTGCTTGACCAAAAAAGGCACAATGCTATCTTCTTCTTCCCTTCTTGATGCTGAAGTCGGTTGTCGTGCCAACTGAAATGTTTTTGGCACTAGATGGCGCTGGAGTCTGTGTATGGTGGATTCGCCACACATATATATATATATATATGTAACGGGGTGGCATCACTGTAATCATGACAGTTGCTGTCTGTTACAGAAG